TTTTAATTTTTGTCTAAAGTTAAAGATATATATTTTCGGCGATTATAACATTTTTTGTATTAACTGAAAATTTGAAAGTTTTACCTTTTTTGAGATCTCTTACCATTTTATAATTTTAATATTGTGCCATTTTGAACTATCCATGGTGTATAAATACACTCTATATGACCATACAAAATCCATTGAGGAGACATTTGTACTCAAGAGTAAACTTCTCCTTAAACTAAATTCGGGTGTCAAGAAAATCTCCGTTTTCATTCATAATGATATTCCTATTTATGAGTCTCTCATCACTGTTCGGTACATTAATGATGTCTGGATTTCTGGGTCTTCCATTGTTCCCTTTGATCCTTATGATTGTGCCATTGCCAGTATTTTTTTATTTGGGTTCAGTACAACGTGGATTTTTTTGGGAGGTTTCTCTAGTTAAATTTTTGGTTAAAATTTTACATTTCCTTTGTATTTTATTTTATTACTTTTTTATTTATACTAATATGTGAATGGAGTAACACAAAATCTGAAATTGTATTTGTTATTTATTTCTTCTTTTTAAATAATATGAAAAAACCATAGAAACTTGAATGTCATGTACAAATCTCGAAATCAACATACTAACTCTAAGTTTCAGAAAATCTTACAAAATTATCAAAATTACCGTCTTTATCACCCTCGATCGCGTCTCTATAATCTTCCATAAAAACTAAACCAATATGGTTCTGTTACAAATGCTCTTCTTCCTCAATTTCCTTTTGTTGAAGCAGAGCCTCCTTAAGTATCTTCAAACTCATACCAGACGATATAAACTGCAAAACATATTGAAGTACGTGAGAATAGAGTTAGAAAAATGTAGAAAATTCATACAAAAAGAAAGCAGAGAGATGAGTATGAGATTCGTTGATTGAAGAAACCCTTGTATTTATAGGTAGAAAATACTAATTCAAAAGGAAAGTATAATAATTTATTTATTTAAGGGAAAGTATAATAATTTATTTATTTAAGGTAATAACATCATTATTATTATTTATTTATTTATTTATTTATTTATTTATTTATTTTCCATTTGACATTTACTTACCAAATAAGTTTTACTACAAAAGTTTTGAGGGGAAAATTTGTTAGGAGGATTTTACTTTTATATATATATATATATATATATATATATATATATATATATATATATATATATATATATATATATAGATATAGATTATAATTGGTAAATATGTAAATGGATACTCCATTGCAAAATGTATTTCGTTTAATATAGCATTTAATAAATAGGTAACTTATTTTGGTGAGTAATGTATTTAGGTAAATGCAATTAGGTAATTAATTTCGTATTTTAATATTTAACGGCATAAAGGAAATTGAGTTTATTACCGAAATGGTCCCTTGACTATTGTAAAATTATTAATTTGGTCCTCAACAATTTTTCTTGCTCAATTAAGTCCCTCGACTTTGAAAATGTTAACCATTTTGGTCCTCTGTTAGGTCAGGTGTTAGAAGTCTGTTAAATTAGAGGGCATCGATGGAATTTCACATGAGAAGACCCATTTCCTATATTATTTAATTGATTAACCCATTTCAATTTGACAAGACCCATTTGCATAAAAGGTTTCGACCGGATGGGTTTCAATTGTTAATTGTTTCAGTTTAGTGGTGGGTTTGAGGCTCAGCTAGTTTATCAGGCGCCATAGCTTTCTTAGCTTCAATGGCGCCGACATCGCTAAGCAGTAAGTCGGAGCTATCCACCGAGTTGCTATGGTGATGTCGAGGCCGGTTCGAGCTCTTCACCCCATTGCCACCGCTCTCCGCCCCTGCCGTCGCAGAAGCATCGGCGGCGGCGTCGGATCCGACGCCGAGCTTCTCGATGTCCATGTAAGTAGAGAAGAAATCGTCCTCGGATCCCATCTCCTCGAAGTTCCCGGCCTGGCGCGGCGATGTCGAAGGGGTCGGACGCCAGATCCAAATCCTCCGGCAGACGGAAGTTAATTTCACTAGAGTTCCTTTGTTTTTGAAAGCAATTTCAAATTTAGTCTCAGACTATGGATGTCAATTGGGCCAGCCCGCTGGGTTTTGGACTAGCCCTACAGGGTTGTTGGGCTTATTGGCTTGGCCCTAACTCTAAAGTGGGCGCTGTTAGGCTAATCTAGCAGGCTGAATCACTTAACAAAAATTGAAAAAATAAGAGCGGGTATCCACATTCGATGGAGAGGGATGGGTTTTGAAAAAATCTACCTACCACATCGACAAGTTGGAACGGGATAATGTTGATAAAATTATGTTTAATGTGTGTGTGTGTGTGCGCGCGCGCAATATACTATATACTAGACACACACACACGACCCAGACTATCATTTTTGTCATTTCACATCCCATACTATTATTTTTTGGACACTTTTAATCATTCTCATGATTTTTCTTATTTTAGTAAGGGCATTTTTGTATCTTCATATTTTTCTTTTGTTATTTTTATGATTTCAACCGATTTAATTGGTTTAGAAATTTACTAAAAACCGGTTGAAAAATATGGATACTAAAAATCATAGGTTACCTAAAGTTCTCAACCAATTAAACCTGTTGAAACCGAAAAAAATAACAAAAGAAAAAATATGAAAATACGAAAATGCCCTTACTAAAAATAGGAAAAGTCACGAGAATGACTAAAAGTGTCCAAAATAAATAATAGTCCATGATGTTAAATGACAAAAATGGTAGTCTGAGACGAAATTTGGAATTGCCACCAAAGACCTCTTATTATTATTATTACTACTACTACCAGGGCCGATTTTTGGAAATTTGTAGTCCCGCTCTTATAAATAAATGAGGCCCTAACAAAAGTATAAAATGCAATCTTTAAAACCAATACCGTAAAATATATGATTCTTCTTTTCATTTACAAAATAATTTTGACATGCTTAATTAATTAGGTCCTAATTATTAAGAACTAGGTCAAAAATAAATATTGGGCTCTGTAATGTTGTCATCTTGCACGCCCTAAAATCCGGCCATGAATACTACGGATTTTTTAGAGTACTATTGATTCATCCTATTCTGGCGTTCGAACCTGTAAACTCCCATTTGAGAGAGTCACAAAATGTCATTGAGCTACAAGCTATTTGACTACTACGGAGTTGAATAATCCAAATCCAAAGTGTGGAATATACTCCGTCAAAGATTAATTAAAAAATCCGCGCATCCAATTATCCATTGAAAAGAAGTTTATGCGCGCGCTATAGTCAACCTGGTAGGTCAAGCCATCAACCACTACTAAATCCAACTTATTTACTAACGCGGTCTTCGTGACCAGATTCCATCACCAAGAATAATTCAAAATCCTTTGATCAAAGACATTAAATTCTATATTTAATAATGAATTTTAAATATCTGAAACGTTTTTATTTTTTGAATTTTTTTTTTCAAATTTCACTCTTCTTCATATAAAGATATTTTCAGACATTTTATATATTTTTTTTCAGTCAAATCACTCTGTTGTTGGCTTCTTCTGCAATAAAATATGTTAAAATTAAAAATGATTTATTGTTTAGTTTAATTTCTATCCCAAACTGGCAAACTATAACTCCAATGTACTATTTATTTTTTGAATACTCAATTTACTATTTGTTAGTTAAACTAATTATTTTTTGTTTCCATACTCCATATTTGTTTAAAATTTTCTTATAACTTTTTAATTTAACCTTTTTTTTTTGTATTTAACAAAAATTAATTTAACTTCTAAATATTATATAAATATTAATTTATAGTATATTATATGATTATTTTCATTTGCAATATACTTAAATTAAGCCTATAAATACAATAGACTAAAAATAAACATATATCAAAATATAATGGATCTACTAAAAATGAACTTGTAGTATACTAAAAATGAATTTATAGATTTCCTCTATTATCAATTCTTCTTTTCCTTTCAATTTTTTGTTTTCTTTTATTATGTTGAAACTCCTTTCAATACATTTAGACAATTTAATAAAATTTTGGGTATTGAGTGTTGTACTTAGCTTGAATCTAGTTGCTAAAACAAAATTGATAATTGGTAGAAGTTCATTTTGACAATTCAAACATTGACAAGATAATAATTTATGTTTAGTCTTCAAAGTTTATTAATTTGAGACAAAACTTATAATCAATGAGTAAAATTAAAATTGTAATCAAGATTGAAAATAAAATACCCTTAAAAGTTATTAATTAAGAATTGAATTTTAAATGAAAAAAATTATCAAATTAGCCATCTAAGTCCATTGAATAATGTAATTAGGTCCTATAACTAAAAAAAATTCCAATGAGGTTTCATAAACTAGCAAAATAGTGTATGCACAAAAAAAAGTGTAATTAGACTCTAATATTACATATTCAACAAAGTATTGCTGATGTGGAACTAATTTAACTAACACTTGGTGTTTTACTACTTACATGGATTCTATATATATAATTTTCATTTTTAAATTTATATTAAAAAAGACACCGATTGTTATCAATCGGCAGTAATTGTTTTTATTGACGGTCAAGACAACCATGACTATCTAGATTTAGACTTCAAAAAATCCAAACCTAGACAGACAATGAAGGCTATCGAGCCACCTTCGTATGTTGAAAAGTGAAGGTGACCATGACTATTTTCATCAGATGAGGTTCAGATCTAAATAATCATCTTGTCTATTGACGAACAATCGATGTTTTTACTTATTTATTTTTTTAAAATTTAAAAATAAAAAACTTGTACACATAAAATCTATGTAAGCTTAGTTAATTTCACATCAATGATACACATGTTAAATATAGATATTGACCTGATTTACTCGTAAATCGCCTCAAAGTAAGGCTAATGCCTAATAGAAAACTTTGATAAAAACTGGTTTGGAATGCGCGTAAATCATAGCTTGCGGCGTGGGACATTGTGACTCATGACATATGCGTATGCCATCATCATCGCTATGCATCTATACTGCACTGCTACTATATAATTCCCAAATTAACACCACTCGGTCCACTCCTAGACGAGTAGAAAAAGAATCATATCACCCTGTGTTTTTCAAGAAAAGACCAGACAGGAAAGAGAACCCAAACGTCCATTTCCAAGCTGAAATCACAGGCACAAGCACAAAGCTGCAAAGTTTTGAGATCCCATTACTTGGTTTTTATGTAAGCTGCTGCAAAACCCAGTCTTTTTCTTGGTCGTATTTTTGTGATTGCAAGTGATTAGGGAAGTTTCTGCCTTTTGTGTTCGCGGGTCTGGTAACTACTCTGCTTAAAGTCTAGGGTTTGTGTGTGTGTGCATTTTGCATTTTTTTTTTCTTTACCAGTTTCAAATTTCGATTTACTTTTGATCTTGGATGAATAATTAATTTGATAGAGGGATGAACTTTTATGTACTTTAAAGAAATTTGTTTTGACTGTGCTTGACTTATGTGTGATGTAATACTGGATCTAAAGAGACTTACACTACAAATTTTCTTTTATTCATGCTTAGTGATCTGCTAAAATCATCTTGATTTGCTGAAATGCATTTGAGAGTTTTGTTAAATTTGGAATATGTTCTATGGGTTTTGCTTACAATGTCATGCTCAGGAACTTATTCTTGAAAAACTGAGAAAAATTTAATGTTTAGCATCAAATCTTTGATTTTCTCCATTTTCCTTTGTTCTTGGTATATCCCCCATGGAAAATTCCTTTTTGTCTTGAACTGTGATTTGGCTTTGTGCAATGCAGTTGTGTGGTTTATGAGTTGAAAGTCTTATGGAAGGCACATTGGGACAGCTAAAGATAACGATTGTACGAGGGAAAAAGCTAGTAATCCGGGACTTCAAGAGCAGTGATCCTTATGTCATTCTCAAGCTTGGAAATCAGGTATTTTTGTGCTTCATTGTTATCCATATCTCTTTGAGGTGACACATTGGGGGTGTTTGGTAAATAACTATTAGCTGATTGGGTTAGTGGGTTTGACTAGTTGATAGTATTAGCTGATTGTAGAAAAGTGTTTGCTAAATTAGCTGTTAGCTGATTACATGCAAAATGACTTTCTCAAAAAGCTGATTGAAAAAGCTACTTTGAGCAGCTTTTTGAATTTTAGCATTTTGGAGCAATAAGTTGTTACAAAAAGCTAATTAATCAAACACTCATATTGATTGTTTAACCAAGTCAAACAGCTAATAGTGGTCAAATAAGCCAAAATTGGCTGACAAGCTAATTATGTTACCAAACAGGGCCATTTTGTGATCTTCTGATTATTTAAAGTTTTAAACCTTGCCTGCTTTGAGCATGTTTGCATATGAGATCTTAATATAGATTAGGAACTTGAGATTGTCACATCAAATGGAAGATAATTAGCAAATCAGCTAGTCATGCTTTTTTGATGATTCTGTGGAATTTCTAACATTCCAACCACCTGAGAATGGGAGCTGAATGCACCATTCCTCGTTTCCCTTTTCTTTAGATATATGCTAAAAGTGGCTATCTTATATCTTTAGGCCGATAATATGCACTTCCCCGTGCTTGATTACTTACTTGATTCTGTGCCAAATGACTTCACAATATTGAATGCTAAAATCACATCTACTTAATGGCAGACTGCAAAGACGAAGGTCATAAACAGCTGCCTAAATCCTGTTTGGAATGAAGACTTCAGTTTCTCTTTATCTGAACCTGCTGGAGTTCTGAAACTGGTTAGTTCTCAACAGTCAAAGCCTTTTCATGGTTTTACTTTTAGCCTTTTAGGAGCTTCGTTTTTAATTATTTTTGTCTGTGTTGAACTATCATTTTTCATATACAAATCATCCTACTGCTAATTTCTTCCCATTAATGCTATCTTTTCTCACGTATCTGTAGATGTGTATAACTGACCTCTTAGTAACTTTCAAACCTATTGTTGCCCGGGTTTATCGGCCTGGTATCCTGCTGAATAGCCTGGATTCTCCCGTCGAGAGTCATTTTTAAAGTATTACCTAAACTCTTCTGACTGATCAAGTCTTCATCCTCATTTCTCTGAATGAAGATAATTAATGAGTATAATTGTAATGATTCTCTGAAATAGATTACAATTGGGAACGGTTTTAAGCTTAAGAAAATATGGATTATGACTTCACAAAGTTAAGGTATGCAAAAACGGGTTTCTGATAGGCCAACACAATGGTTCATTCCTTAAATTACAAAACATAAACATTGAAGAAACTCAAGAAAGAAAGAACATTCTTATTTGAATTTGAAAAGAATATGCTGCTAGCTTTCCCTGAAAAATACTTCCCATTTTAGGGGAAAAACACATTACACTATCACCGGGTTCACTTTTCAGTGACTCGCACAAACTTTCACTGAACAATTTACTTTTTGAAATAGCAAGTTGTATGGAGCGCCTTTTGGACCACATTTATTACTTATAAAGTGTATTGGAAACAATGTTGTTATCAGTTAGAAATAAACATATGAATGTATATTGAGTTGTGTTATACCATGGACTAAGGTGGACCCTGGTCCTAAACGACGTATAAATTGTGTATTTTTAGTATTGGAATTATGAACTTTTAGAATATAAATTGTGTTTATAAGTTAAAACACATAACAGTTGTAGAAAGGAATTTGTGAATACAATACAGGGTCATCAAATCCTAATCCTAATTTGTTAATATTGTGTAACTGTAGTATTTGAAAGGAACTTGTGAATACAAAGTAAGGTAATCAATTACAAATATGTTAACATTGTGTGTTCGTAGTATACAAATTGTGAATTTTTAAAAGGTAAATTGTGAACATTTAGATCCGGGTCCACAGAATAATTTGCGATGTATATTAAGTCTTACATTATCTACAAAAGCAGTATCATACTGATTAGTCTGTCAAGCTTTCTGTAAATTTATAAATATTTATCCGTTTCATAAAACCTAACTCGACAGCATTTATAACAGCAAGTGTTTGATAAGGACCGCTTCAAGGCCGATGATAAGATGGGTCATGCCCATCTTAACCTTCAGCCATTGATGGCCGCTGCAAGATTGAGGCAAATTGTTGGAATTTCTTCTGAAGGGTCGATCTTGAGGAAGGCCATACCTGAAAGTGACAATTGTCTGGCAGCAGATAGCTCTATTCTCTGGGTCAACGGTGAGGTCGTGCAAGATGTTTGGTTGAGGCTCCGCGATGTGGAATCCGGGGAGATAGAGTTGAAAGTCAAGTTAACAAATCTTCCCGTTCCTCCATCAAAGTAGAGTGGAGTTTATGTCATTCTGGCAAGTTGTAGTTTCTCTTGTGCATCTCTCTCTCTCTGTTATTTTATTTTATTTTTTTAAAAATTTTATTTAAAGCAATGGATTGATGTAATGTATTTGTTAGCTATCCTGACCATGAAAAGAATGTTGTGTTGTAAGTTGTATATATAGAGAACATTGGGCATTGTGTTACAGCTAAGTTTATCAGTAAACACCTTGAAAATGAATATTCTGCAGCTTCAGTGGAACTGTGGAACCCTAACTAGAAGAACATATTCCTCTCTGGGTGAATATCCTGATTTCCTCATGCTAAGTAACAGTCAACATAGGTGCAAAAAGATGGGTTCCATATCTGAACCAATGCAACAATAGCAACCATTCAGAAAAAGTTACTTTGCAACTTCCCCTACTAACAAAATGGATATATCTTGCCTCAAAAGGTTTGAATCCCTAAAATGGTTCCACAGCATAATTTGCCATCAGCAGAAGTTTGAATGAATAAATCATGTGTATCTAACCAAACAATGCCGCAAATTATGCTATGCAACCGAATGCATCATGCGCATGATGCATACGATGCAAAACGACGTCGTTTTGGTTAAAAAATGCGCGTCTCACTTAAAAACGAAATCAGGTTCAATTCACGGCAATAGCATTTTTATATATCCATAAATTCATAACTATATATCCACAAATTCATAACTATATATCCACAGTGAATGAATGAAGTAAAAATTCACAATGAATGAACTAAATATCCACAATGATTGAACTAAATATTCACAATGAATGAACTAAATATCCAGAAATTCATAACTATATATCTAGAAATTCATAACTATATATCCACAGTGAATGAATGAAGTAAATATCTACAATGAATGAAGTAAATATCCACAATGAATGAACTAAATATCCATAAATTCATAACTATATATCAAGAAATTCATAACTATATATCCACAATAATGCTATTGTCGAAAATCAAACTTGAATTTTTTTTTTATTTTTTATTTAAAGTGCAATGCGCATTTTTAGTCAAAACGACGTCATTTTGCATCGTATGCACCATACGCATGGTGCATTCAGTTGCATAGCATAACTATTGAAACAATGGGCTTCTTAATCTTCAAAAAGATGTGTTTATAACTTTCTTGAGCTATCCTTAGGCCCAAATGATGCTTGTTTAGTTGTTTGGACGAAAATGATGTGGTTTCCTTCAAAGTGTAAAGATAAATTAATTGATTATTATTTTTTTGAAATGAATTAATTGATTATTACTTATGAAGAAAAAAGTAATACTAATCATAAATAAATACAATAGATTTTTTTTGAGTGACAAGGAAAATCGACAGTCACAACATGTGTAATACTTTGAAAAAATGTGATACTTTTTGAGGAAAAATGTAATATTTTAAAATCAAAATATAATATTTAGGATTTGAAGGGTTACTTATGAGAAAAAGTGTAACACTTATGAAAAACTTGACATGTCTCACAAATAAAAATTCAAGTTGCTAATTCAAAATATTAATCAACTATTACTATATATAGATCACCAGCAACTCCTGGTGAGTTTGAACTTTTATGCAAAAACTCAACCAATACCTCATGACTTCAGCTAACACGGTTAGAACTAAGATAATATATATACTAATACACTTATGAGAAATTCAATAGTGTCTGCTTTGGTGGTATTGTAGTTTTTTACCCCCTCTTGTGTTCTTAGTAAAGAAATACAACAATATCAAATAGTAGACATGGTGCTTGCAGATAAGTAAAAATTCTCAATATTTATTTAGTTTACATAAGCTTCTGGGAAAGGTTAACCCAAGCACAGAAGTACCAGCATCATTCAAAGAGCAATTCACATTTTTCTAACAAATTACAGTAATGGTCACATGTAGAATAAAACACTAAAACATATGCATATCTATCTAAACACTAATTTAGGAATCAAAAGAATGGAGAAAATCAGCATCGATCGTTCTACAATTTGTCATTCCAATAGCCTAGCCTACTTCTGAGACGGAAATATAAAGATTCTAAAGCACTTGATTGATGGCTGACATAATATTTCACGAGTTCTCAGAAACTTTCCGATCAGCTACAGAAATGTACCTGGCGACATCAGCACAGCATTTAAGCTTGTCTGCTTCCTCATCAGGTATCTCTATGGAGAACTCTTGCTCAAAAGCCATCACGAGTTCAACTCGATCCAAGCTATCAAGGCTCAAGTCCTTCTGGAAATCAGCTCTTTCAGTAACCTGCAAAATGATTGGGATTTGAGACTTCAGGACAAATACACAGTTTGATACCAAAATTATCAAGTTGGCGTGGTTCATTCTGGGACCATGATTCACAAGGTAGAGATTTGAGAATTATCACCGGAATATTCACCTTAGCTGCATCAATCTTGTCAAATTTCTTTACCAAATTAATCACCCGTTCCATTGTCTGGTCATGGCCGGTAGCAGTAGAAGCACTTGATGTGCAGAATCGTTGGTTGAGCAGATTCAACAAACTCGGAGTTTGAGGACAAACCATGTTTTTTAAAGAGACTCTAACTCTCACATAACTCAAAATAGAGGATCGCAAGCTTTGCATATTGAGCAGTCTGAGTCACGACAAAATAAATTATGAGGTTACGTTGGATAAAATAATAAGCATTCAATTCATTATGGTTACAAGTTATAAGTACACGATGGAAAGAGTAACCAGTGGCCATAAAAAAAAAAAAAAAAAAAAAAAACTGAGCAGCATGATGATATAGATTTTCTAAATTTCTAGAATATTGTTCCTAAAGTTTCTAGAATATTGTTCCTAAAATTTCTAGAAAAAACTGAGCAGCATGATGCTACCAACATTACAAACAAGAATGCTTTATTTGGCCTCGAAAGGGGTGATCGAGTAGGTGGAGCATGAAACTCGTACCAGAAGGTAACGAGTTTGATTCTTGCCTAACACCTTCTCGGTCGAGCCTATCGCATAGGGTCTTCCTAGTGCAGTCTACCTCTCCTATGTGGTTTGCTGGCCATTACACAACCCGGGTTTACCTTGTACATACCCTCAAGTAGTGGTTGTGGGTTTCTAGTCACCCAAAAAAATGTTTTATTAAAAAAAAAAAAATCAAATGAGCAAATTTTTCTAAAACAGCTACTTACAAGTGGCAGTAGTTTAAAAAATCCAATTCAAACAATCAAACACATTCATCACCATTTCCAACTGAAATAAGAGGCTACTCTCAAAACAATCTTAAAATAAAAAGCAGGCTCAACCTATCAGTTGAAGATTAACAAGAAGGCAATTATGTTAGCTCCATATTCCCATAAACAAAAGACTGTGATTTGACAGATAATCCAAGCAATTTCCAGAGATAAGTAATTACTATATAGACTATAACACACATTAATACTAATATGATGTTTGAAGATTGAAAGTTGTTTAAAAAAAAAAAAAAAAAAAAAAGAAGATTGAAAGTTACCAAGAATGCTTGAAGAAAATAGGGGTAGGGAAAAAGGCACAAAATCATAAATTATAATCAAGAAGTCAAAATCAAGTCCCATTTGGTTTTGCTTGACCCCTCAATTGTAACATCAGAGAAATCATACAACAAGACAATATCAGAGAACAAGTAATTAAGTATGCATCAGAAATGTAAAATGATATTGTGAGACCCTACGAAGGACATGCGAAGCTAAAAATCCACCAACCTGGTAATGGTAGCGTGTTACGAAGTAGTATCTGAGGATTCAGCAATACCCTGAGAGCTGATTCCTGAATATTAAAAAAAAAAAAGAAGAAGAATTACATAAGGGAAGTGCGACTGTCCGTACTAGGTACAAACAAGAAAGGAAGCAACCACGCAAGAGCACGAGTTCACCTGTTTTATTCTGGTCCTTTAGCCGGATATATGCGGTGTAGCAGCTTGTAGGATAGGTGTTTGCTTTATTTCCCCAGTGAAACTGTGAGAGTGGCTTTCGGCCAGTCCCTATGGGCTCTGGAATAAGTCATGCAGAGTTTTATATGATGGGCTTGCTAGCAAAATGGGCTCGCATCCGAAACTTATTCAGCCCGTCTGTACGTAAGTAACATAACTATCTAAGTTTTTTGGGCTAGTTTGGCTCTTTACCGTACTCAAACTGGTCCAATTCGACCCTAGAGTTGTCAAAACGGATTGACAGGATGGAGCGGGCCAAAAAAATTCGCTCTTAAGTTCGGTTGGCCCAACTCAGCCCATCCCACCTTAGCCCGTGGGCTAGACTGGCCCTCGCCATACCTAGGGGTGATCACGATTCGGTTCGAACCATAACCGTCATTGTGCTAATTGAACTGTAACCGGAACCGTTCATACAGTTCCGGTTCCGGTTCCTAATCGGAACCAATAAGATTCCGGTTAAGGTTCTCTAAATATTGGAATCAGAACCGCCAGTTCCGGTTCCAAACCGTGAGAATTATTATAAAAAGGAATAAGGTTCAAATTGGCCACTGAACGTAACCTGAAAATGCAATTAGGCTACTGAACGAAAAAAAGTGCAATTAGGCCACTGAACACTCCAAAAATGTGCAATTTCACCTGATAGCAGGTTACCCTCAATTTTAGCAGGTTATCTGCTTACGTGGCAGCTGAGTTGGCATTTTTAATAAATTTTAATTAATTTTTAATAAATTTTAATAATAACTTTTTATTAAAAATTTTTTTTAAAAAATAAAAACGACTTTATTTTATTTTTTATTTCATTTTTTCCAATTTTTTTATAAAATTTATTATTAAAATTAATTATTAAAAATTATTTAAAAATTATTAAAAATGCCAACTAAGCTGCCACGTAAGCAGGTAACCTGCTATCCGGTAAAATTGCATACGTTTGGAGAGTTCAGTGGCCTAATTGCACATTTTTTGAGTGTTCAATGGCCTAATTGCATTTTTTTTTTTCGTTCAGTGGCCTAATTGCATTTTCATGTTACGTTCAGTGGCCAATTTGAACCTTATCTTTAAAAGCCAAACTGCCATTGGCAGTTTGGCATGCCACTGACGCGCAAGTGGTCTACTGGCCTGTAGGCCACTTGGCTACTTGGCCTAGCGCCACACATTATATAAAACAAAGCTTTTTAATTTATTAAAAAAATAAAACTTACGGTTAGAACTGGCGGTTCCAACTGAAACCGTCAGTTCACGAACCGGAACCTTAATATAAGGTTCTGGTTCCGGTTTCACCATTTGCGAAATCGGAACCGGAACTGCGGTCACCCCTAGCTATACCACTTTTTATTTATTTATTTATTTTTCTGAGAGTCGAGATGGCACCAAGAGGCTACTTGGATGCTGGTTCACGCTGGAGCTTGGACGATTGGACGGCACGAGTGACATTTGGAAGAGGCATAGGGGGCAGGGAACACTGAGTCGTTGACTGAGAGGGTGAAATGTGAGATTGGCGCCTAGCGTGAGTGACGTCTAGAATTGCAATTATTTAATATATTATATGAAAATTTTGTTAAAATTATATATATATATATATATATATATATATATATATATATATATATATATATATATATATATATATATATATAATTTCAAACAAATTAATAATTTTAATTACTAATTGTACATAAAATTATAGTAGTTTTATATTTTTTATTTTAATAATGTAATTATACAATTTTTGTAACATTAGATATTTCTATTTATTTAATTCCATAACGCATTTCATTAAATTAATACTAACTATGGAGTATAATAATAGTTTTTTATTTTTATTTATTAAACACATGATATTTTGTTACATTATACTGTCATTAATCATTTTTCATATGTTGTACCGTGTTACATGTCACATTTAAAATAAATGATTGGTGATGACAAAATTTTGAATAACGGCCAAAATTGTATATACATGATTACATTAAGAACTAATTTTATACAATTGATAATTGTCAATATAATGATTAAACTAACTAAAAGTGAATAATTAAAGAATTAAAATTGCATTTTTTGTGGGTTTGTTACTTTGTTTTCCATTTACACCAAACTCGATGAGGCAGCAAAGCCACTATGACGTAGTTCCTTGATACATTGACCTCCATAGCTGATAGCTCTGAGAATTCGAGTGGGAAATGGCGTACAACCTCAGCTCTGCACCGGCGCCTCTCTCCCAAGAACCCCTGCTGCTTTCCAAGTCGCTGAATCCTCGCCACATTCTCCAATTCCCTCTTAAATCCAAACCCTCCTATCTCCCCCTCAGAATCTACAAGCCCCTTCGTCTGCAGCTCACCCAAGTTTCCGTGGAAAAGCAGGCCCAGATCTCACAAAGCCCTTCAAATTATCAGCACCCAGACGAAAAGGTTTCATCTTCATCAAAGAGTTACGTCTGGGTCAATCCCAAAAGCCGCAGAGCGTCTAAATTAAGACAGGTTTCTTATGATTCCAAGCACTCTTCTCTGCTGAGCATTTCGCGATCTTTGGATTCTTGCAGCGCAATTGAAGAGGATGTGTCGAGTGTACTGTCTGCTCTGGGGGATAACGCAGTAGAACAAGACGCTGTGGTTATTCTTAACAATATGTCGAACCCTGATACGGCGCTTCTGGCAATGGATTACTTCAGGCGGACGATGAAGTTTAGTCAGGAGGTAATTCTGTATAATGTGACTCTGAAAGTGCTTAAGAAGAATAAAGATTTGAGTCGTGCGGAGAAACTGTTTGATGAAATGCTTGAAAGAGGTGTTAAACCAAATAAAATTACGTTCTTGACTATTATTAGCTGCGCGAGGATCAGCTCTTTGCCGGAAAAAGCTGTTGAGTGGTTTGAAAGGATGCCAGCTTTTGGGTGTCAGCCAGATAATCATACGTATTCGGCCATGATTGATTCTTATGGGAAGGCAGGGAATGTGGATAAGGCATTGAGCTTGTATGAGTATGCAAAGGCAGAACAAATGCATGTGGATGCCGGGACATTTTGCACATTGATTAGGATTCATTCTGCATCTGGGAATTTCGATGGGTGCTTGAATGTGTTCGAGGAAATGAAGAAACTTGGCTCTAAGTTTAATGTGGTTGCATATAACAATTTGTTGGATGCCATGGGAAGAGCTGGTAGGCCGGAGCAGTGTAAGAACATATACAATGATATGATACAAAATGGATTCGAGCCAAGTTGGGCTACCTATGCTGCACTAATCCGGGCTTATTGTAGGGCTCGCTATAGTGGAGATGCTCTAAAAGTGTATAAAGAATTGAAGGATAAGGGATTGAAGTTGAATGTTAAGCTGTATAATACACTTCTTGCAATGTGTTCTTATTTGGGATTAGTGGATGAGGCAAATGGAATTTACAACGATATGAAGGAAATGTGCAAGCCCGACCATAGGACGTTTTCTTTATTGATCACGATATATTCTTGCTGTGGGAAGGTCTCAGAAGCCGAGGCCATTCTGCATGAAATGGTGGAAGCAGGGCTAGTACCGGATATTTTTGTTTTGACATCGCTAGTTCAGTGTTATGGGAAAGCAAATCGTTCGGATGATGTGGTGAGGATGTTTGATCGACTGTCGAACTTAGGTTTGACTCCCGATGAGAGGTTCTGTTGTTGTCTCCTCAATGCGTTGCAACAAACACCCATGGAAGAAATGCATAAATTGACTGCTTGCATCGAGAAGGCTAGCCCGAAACTCGGTTACATTGTGAAACTCCTAATGGAGGACGAGAATGGTGAAGACAAGCTTTTTAAGCAGGAAGCGGCTGAACTCTTAAATTCCATCGGTACTGATGTAAGAAAACCTTACTGCAACTGCTTAATTGATGTGTCCGTGAACCTTAACCGATTGCAAAAAGCGTGTGAGTTGTTAGACCTCGGTATAACACTCGGTATCTACACCGATATGCAATCCAAAGAACCTGCTCGCTGGTCTTTGCATCTTAAGAGTCTGTCCCTCGGGGCAGCTGTAACCGCATTGCACATTTGGATGAATGACTTGAACAAAACAATTGAAAACGGCGAGGAGCTTCCATTATTACTCGGGATCAATACAGGGCGTGGGAAACACGTATATAGTGAGAAAGGTTTGGCGCAAGGAATCGCATCACATCTAAGGGTCCTAAATGCTCCGTTTCATGAGGCGCGGAATCTGGCTGGATGGTTTTTGGCGACGAATATTGCGGTTACATCATGGTTGAAATCTAGACATTCAGAGAAGATTGTTGCTGCTTAGGAGTTGGCTCTTTGTCAAGCTTAAGATGGGAATTTGTGCTTATTTTGTTAGAAGGTTTTTAGCTGAGGTGTGAACATTCATTAAAAATTTTCTTTTTCTGTGGGTTTAAGCTAATTCTCTAGATATAGTTAGTTTTGTGTAATCTTAAATTATAGAACTCTCAATCAAAAACCTTGTAGTCTAGTGGTATTAGCCTAGTTACTATATTACATGTGATTTTTTTCTTTGAAATGAGGGATGAAATTAGAAAATGCCCTGTTAGTTGTTATTTTTATACTTTTCAAGTTCAGTTAAAAGATGGAATATAATGCGCATCATTTTATGTATGTCCTTATATGTTTTTTTATTAAATTAAACATCAATACTGCCTACGTACAGGACTCCAGTGGCGAGCTCGAGAGAATAATGGCTAAGAAACTTTCGAATGAAAATAAAGCTTTTTCTGGTTATAAGTTTCCCCTTCTTCAAATACACAGGTATTTATTTATATAGAATAATATAAAATTAAAAACTACCCACTACCTCTTAAGTGTCTGTAAAGCTATAACTACAAGAGAAAGTGGTTATCCCACAACAACACCACCACCACTATGGTTGTAACATTTCCCCACCCATCAAAATCACCTTGTCCTCAAGATGATGGTACACAGTGTATTATTGTAATTCCTCATAAAATTCTGGACTAGCAAAATCAGCCACTTGGTGCTCAAATGGGTCACCCGGTTGTCCAGCTGGGTTGGGCCCAACTTCCTCTGCAGCATCATTAATAACTAAAAAAATAAATTTGTACAATTATGATTTAGGGTCCAGTGCTCATCAC